ATATCAGCATATACATGCTCTCATCCTTTTGTATCCGTGAAAACTTGACTGCTTGCTCAGTCTGTGAACCCTTGCTATAGATAAGGACTCCCTTGGTCTAGGCACAGTACGGACACAGTACAAAATGAGTGTTTCTGTCTTGGAAACATTCTGAATGCTTGGGAATGGCTGGACTGTTTGGAGGTGAAGGGTAAGTTGCTGTGAAAACCAGGAGATCTTATATTACAGAAATACGCTGTATGAGGTGTGTTAGAGTTGTGAACGTATGTGAGCCTGCAAGAACTTGAGCGGTGGAAGCAGCAGAAGCGACCCAAAGGCTGGGACAGAAAGGGCTGATTAATGACCCTGCTCACAGATGTTGCAAGGCCAACTTCTGGCAAGAAGGAAGATGGACTGATCTTCCTGCTCCTACTGGGTTTTAATAAATGCCTCCATAAATTGGAGGGTAGGCCCTGGTTTAGGGCTTTCCTTGCCTTTTTATCTTTCCAGACTCGTTTCCAGCAGTAGTGGATTTACTGTCTTTGCTGTAAGTACCTTCACAGGAAAATGAGAATTCATAATCTGCAGAGATCATATATACTAGAATGAAACTGTTCCAATACTGTGCCTGCCAGAGGCCAGACTAAAAGATAAAGAGAGATAAAGCTTGCAATAGTCGTTCATTACTCCCTCGCATTTGGCTGCAAAGGAGTAACCACACCTGCTCGGTGGACCGTGTAGGTATTACAAATCTTTGATCTTTCTGAACCTGCACTGATTTACTAGAGAAACATTTCATTATTCTTTTTGTTCTAGTAAGAAAGGAATGGGGGTACTTCTTTAAAAGTATAGTTTTAGCTTTAGATTTTCTTTACTTTTTTTTTTGTTAAGTTCATAACTAACATGCAGTCAATTTGCCTTGTGATTTGTTTAAGTTTACTGTCAGTCTTGTAAAGTCTCCCAATGAAATCCTGCCTGTTGGGAAGTGTCATAAAATTCCACTTTAACTTGCAGTCAAGCCAGATTTATGTCTATTTAACTTGTTTCAGCCATGCTGTCTTTTTTTATGGCAGCTTGAGTAAAGACCAGGGGGAAACATAGTAAGAAATTGTCTCCTTCCTCCCCATTAGTTAGTTACTTGACATCTGGCTCAAATGTGTATTGCAGGCTCCTCTTCAGCCCTTCTTTCTCTCCTTCCAATAAAAAAGTCTGCCTTTTTCAATGAGGAAATAAATTTCAAATAACTGTCTATAGAAAATCTCAAGTTATAAACCATCTTTTCCAAAGAAGAGGCATTTTAACATCCAGCCCTGACAGCTTCCATGCACAGCATACTTCTTGATTTCGTAACATGGGGAGATTAATGCTGCCCTTCTATTATATGCTTTGGGATCTGTGTGTACTCCTCTGTAGTCAACCTCCTCGTGAACTGTTGCTTATTAGCAGTGGAGGCACAGACGGCTTTGTGTTTGCATGGCTCAGCTGAAGGAAGGGGAGGATGGCACAGACAGCGACATAGACGGTTCTGAGCATCTCTTTGTACCGAAGTAAAGCTCCAGCTGATTTTTCTTTTTTACAGAAGCATGTGTAAGTCTACAATAGATAGTAGACCCTGCTCCCAGTCGCACAGAGCCTAAAGCATTTGTTCTGTGCTGAAGAATTTGGGACTTCTTTGTGGAAGTTTGGATTGCAGTGGGTAACTAGCCCTTTCTTGCTGCCAGACTAGCTATTGTTAAATACATGACAGTCTGGTAAAATAATATGATTGTGCTTCCAAACAGAGTAACTAGAGAACCTAGAATTAAAGACCACCATCTCATTCAAAGTGCTGGATAAATATTATTCATATAATGTATTCTTATTCAATATATTGTTTTCCTTGTTCATGTGAATTCATGCCTTGTTACTGTGCCCAGCTCAGTTCCTGCTCTGAAGTGGGAGTTCTCAATTTCTTCTGAACTAGCAAAATTTTATCACTGCAGTATCTCACAGTTTCAAAAAACTATGTAGCTCCCATGCAGTATTGTATTAAACTCCGTTCTGTCCGTCGAGGGCGAGTGTTAAATCAGAAGTAACCTCACTGGATTTTGGATTTGGTTCTGTATGAGGTTGCTGTGCTTTTGGTTGGTTTTTTTTCAGGGAACAAATCAGACCCTTGGATCCCAGATTGGTCAATCAATTAGGGTTGCATCCAGATGGCTGTGTCAATAGTCAGAGGACAGCAATGATTCCTAAGGAGCAATTCAGAAGGGAGCAGGAGAAAGCAACAGCCTCAGATCAGCCAACAGAGAACGAACACTGTGACTTCTGTAAGGTTTAAGAACATCTTTCTCTTAGTGACTGTCTGTGAAATACAGTCATTGCGTCTGCATTCTAGAGTAGTAGTTTTTCTGTGTTATCAGGTGCTCCCTGATGCAACTCATAGTCCCTGCTGCTGCATGATATCCTGGCACATCCTGACTCCATGTAGGAGGAGGTTTGACTTCACTCAGTTCCCCAGCACACCTGATTTTCCTTTGCAGGAAAGCAGGGGAAAGGACTTGCGGAGCTGGGAACACATCTTCCTCTTGGTTAGGCTGTGGCTGACAGGGAAATCGTGAAACCAGGACTTAAATGATCTACACGGCAGACTGGGGATTAAAAAGCACAGTTCTCCTCTCTTCATCACTCCCTGTCTGCACCTTAGGCTTCAGTCACAACACGCTTTCCAACTTTGGCTAACTGAGCACCTCCCTGCTTATTGTCCAGATGCCCTGAGCCCAGAGGTGCCGGCTGCCTGCCCCCTCGACTGCTTTGCACCGAAAGTGCCTGGGAGCAGACGGGTTGAGGAATTCAGCTTCAGGATGCTGGCACACTTCTACTGAGTGCATGAAGTGTTTTTCCAAATGCAGAAGAAGAGGTTGCCGGAATTTTTCAAGATGGAGGGAATGTCTACAATGGAAGTTGTAGATACCTTCAGTAAGCAATTAAACAAAATTACAGGGAAGAAAACCTCTGGAGTTTTCTTCCAAAGCCCAAAGATACCTCTTCCCTGCTCTGGGCATCCTTGAGCCATGAGTTCCTCCTAGAGGAGTGGAGGAGACTGAGAAGTATTTCTAATTGTGCTTAAAGTCCTCCTTACACAGCTGTTGTTGACTCCTGTCTAAGGCAGAATCCTGCACGAGGCAGACCTTTGGTCTGACCTGGAGAAGCCATTCCTGTAGTCACCTATATTGCTGTAATATACTACAGGAATGGCTTCAGCAGGCCAGACCAAAGGTCCTGCTGCTTCCATCCCAGTGTTGGTCTTTGGAGCACTTGAATTGTCTTGGCTGAACTTCAAATAATAGTGTGTTCTGAAACAGACACAGAGTTAGGAAAACTCCAAGGCAACTGATATTTGGAGTGTGGTGGTTTATGAAACAGTTGCAAATTACAGTCTTCTGGTGGGAAGTACCAGCATCTTTAGTTACCCTGCTGATAATACTTCAAAGTTACTGTGGTCAGTTTAGAAAGACAAAATGTATGGAAGGCAATAAAAGCAAGTCTTCTGTCTTGTAAGCTGATATTTAGGCTTAGAACCACTCGACCACACCCATTAAAAGAGGGTCGCTGTGTCATGGGGTGCTGGGATTGAGTGGAGGAGCTGAGCCTTTTGCTACTGCACCTCTGTTGGGGGGGGGTGGGGTGGGTGTGCGCACACCTGGCAGGGTGGTGGGACGGGTCGTTCTCATGGGGCATCAGGACTTGCTGAGCTTGTGTTTGTTTCCTCCTCTGCTGCTAGGTGGCCTGTAATAGTTTAGTGTGGGTGAATTCTCCAAACATGTCACAAAAGTCTCAAGTCTTATGGGATGTAGAGGGCAGTAGGGTGTTGCGCATAAAAATGCTGAAGGAGTGAGAAAATATTTCTGTAGGTGGCTGACATCCTGATGTATTGGATGAATTTTAATGAAGTTGAGCAGTGTTTGGGAACAACAATCCAGTGGCTGCATGCATTGCTAATTCTAAAATATGATTTACAGGAGATGCACTAACCATTGATTTTACGCAGCCTTTTACTTGTTTTCTTAAGTTGATTCTTACATTGAGTCTTGCTGTGCTATTCTCTTGCTGAGATTGGCCTTTAGCTTAGTAGTTGTTAATGCTTCTGAATTTGGGAAGATCGCTGCACTGATTTTAAGTTTAAGTCATACAAACAGCAAATGTGTCCGTCTAAGCTTTCATTATCTCTGTATTTATAAAAGAAAGCTTTTAAACTTTATTTTTCGTAGTGCACAGAGGTGATTGATGTGCCTGGCTGTCCCTGGCAGGTCTGCGCGGGGCGGCTGCCTCCGTGTTAGTTCTTGCCTTTTACAAGACTTAGAAGATAGCCAAGGTTTTCATGCTGGCGGGAGGTAAAGTCAGAAATAAACACTTCTTTCTAGTGCTATTCTAGAGGCGACTACCTTCAAAAGGGTTTTAAAAGTGTATGGTTTAATTTCTTATGTTAGCTAAAGTTCTCGAAGGGCTTATTTTAAGATTAAGGAAAGTTAGGTGCTATTCTACTCTTAGGGAAGCCTGGGGGGAAAAGAGGTTTAGCCCGGCATTTTTTAATAGCTGTTTGATGATGCTAAAAACAGAAACAACCCCCCTATGTTTATTGTTTGGGGATTTTATTGTAATGGCTGTGTTTTCTTTCTGTAAAGCTTTTAATATTAAGGGCCGAAAAGTGCTATCTGTGCAGATACTGTTACACCAGATGAAGTACACAAGCACAAATGCCTCCAGAATTATTTACTATTTCTAGAGAGCATGTGATAAAAGGATCTTTTTTAATTTTACTTCAGCTCCCACACGTTCTTTTTGTTCCAATCTGGTGAAACTGGGTGTCTCTCACAGCAGGTTCAGGAAACTCTCTGCAATCTTTCGTCTTCTTGTTTGGCCACTAATAACCGGAAAAATTGACCAGGCGAAATGGTGAAGAAGTTGAGCCAGCAGTTGCCACAGTGACAGTTGTCCAATATAAATATCTTACAACTCTTCTGTTTATCATCTGTTTTCAGGGCAGTTTAAGCTGCTGGAACAAGACCGAGATATTAAGGAGCCGGTGCAGTATTTTAACAGTGTGGAGGAGGTGGCTAAAGCATTTCCTGAACGAGTTTACGTCATGGAGGAAATAACATTCAACGTTAAGGTAGTCCCTGAATAAATATTTATCCCTGTCTAAATGATTAACTGTTACAACTTTTATATACATGGCAAGTGAGCAAGGCCCTGAGTGGGAAGTGTGATTTTTGAGACAAACGAGCCTTTAGTGTTCTGCATTCAGCAATGGTGCTCTTCGGGATCGTTTTTGCAGTCTTAAATCAACATGTCCTCTAAGGGCTCTCCTGTCCTATGGCACTTTGGGGAGCAGTCCTGATGGTCCATCCAATAACTTATCCAATTAGGATGCTCCTGCCAGATTTTAAACAAATGTTGTTTGTTGCCCCCTTTCCCCTCCCCCTCCAGCCATCTGAATTTTATTCTCTGCTAAGCAGCAGCTGCTCAAATCCCTGTCCAGAAAGCCTTATTCTCAGGGAGCACGTAGGGTGAAATGATCGAGTTGCTTGTCTCAAAATTACTGCAGCTAAGTAGCATTGTGAATAAAACAAAAGAAAACCAAAAGAACATACTTGTTCTCTGTGTGTTTGTTTGCACGTGCACACCTCTTGGGCTCATCAAAGGGTCAGCAATCCCATGCGTGTAAGAGGGCTTGCTATCACCAAACACACTGCAGTGCAGTGGCATGACACAATGAAGACAGAACTTGTTCTTCCTTGTCCTACCTATGTGTGTGATGCTACACAAGGTAGGTCAGGTCTGCCAACAGAGCAGAGTGGTCTTTGGGCTCGTCTGCGTTGCTTCAGTTGATAGACCACCTAAGACTGGTTGAAGAGCATCCTAGATCTTGGGATGCAATGGTGGAGATCCACATCGGTACCCTACAGGGGAAACTGGTTGATACTGCTGGTGCAAAACCAATATGGAGTTTCATGGTCCCGTGTGTAGCAACGTGGGGTTTTTATAACAACCTTTTAATCGCTTTTTTGCTTTCTTGCACTGCTAGAGTTGGGGGACACCAGCTAGTCCGAAATTTTTATAGGTGTGAAACAAGATTGCTGAAAACTGCTGCAAGTGCAAGAGTTCATCAGTTAATTCATTTAGCGACACAGACTCATGCCTTTCAAGACAGTAGATTGTTTTCATTTCTGCTCTCCATTAACCTGAACCTATAAAACAGAGCCTTTCATGAATGAAGGCTACATGAGAAAGCTGGAACGCTTTTGTATGTTTAGGATGTAGTTGGGCAAATCAAGGCAACAAGAAATTTTCATTTCTACCCAGGAATATCAGTCTTACCTTGGGACTGCTAGCCTTATCCAGTGCTGTGCCATTATTTTTCAGTTGATCAACGACAAAAATCAATAGAGTGGCACAGTAAAATGTGTGGCTTTGATTTTATAGGGAGAAAAGTATTAATCTGCAGGCTTGTTTAAACGTAAAATGTTGTGTCTTGAGTTTAATGTGAGTGTTCTTAAAACTCTGTCATGTTTAGCAAACTGAGAATTAAGCATAGTTTACTGTTAGATATCAAATCAATTTTTAAAAGATATTATAGTGATACTCCTTAATGTAAATAACAGTAATAATAATCCAGGTTTAACCTAGTTACACAGTTGTCTTGGCAGTATTTCTCTTGGCAGTTTTTCCAGTTTCATAGAAGTCTGTTCCAAGGTTATCATCTTCCAAAAAATAAATGAACTTAACAGGATTTATTAAAGTGTTTAATAACCCTTTACATGCAAGAGAATTATGTGCGCTAAAATTTTAATATAGGGGAGATCCTGTCAAACTGATTAGAGCAAAGAGGAATACTAAGTACGGTTGGTTTCTGTCCAATGCAGTGTGTCCGTTTACATTCAGAAGAGAGTATAAGAAGGTAGCTAATCCGATATAAAAAGAAAAAAAAAATGCCTACAATATCTGATGAAGTGTTTAAGATAAGGAGGAACCCTGAACTCTGGGAATTCTTTCTTATTCCAAACACTCAAGTCTTTCATGGATCATTTTTGAAGAAAGAGGCTGTAGAGTTACACCAGACAGTGACTGCGTGGTTTTGTCTGTGCTTGTTGAGGTCTGCCTGCATGTGCCAATATGCCATGGTTACAGTTCGACTTGGTGCGAACCGTGCTCCTCCGCGTAAACCCTTTGCTGCTCCGGCAGGATTTTACAGCTAGTGCTGCTGTTCAGAGAACTGCGTTCTGGCTGTGACGGGCCGTGGGGTCTTCTCCAAGGGGGAATGTTACTTCATTTTTACTTCGTGGACTAGTTGTTAAAGGGAAAAATGAGCCACCTCATCCTGGGGGAGGCAGGAGAGATGGGTCTCCCTCCCTTCCTTCCTTCCTTCCTTCCCCACAGTTTTGCAGCTAGGCAGGCGTCCTGGGCAGTGCGCTGAGGCAGGGGTTGGGACCTGCCGGCTATTTGAAGGAGGGCTGTAACACGTGCCATCGAGCAGAGCTGGTAGTGGAAGGTGGAGTCATTTTTCACAGAATAGCAAATACAAACATTTGGTTTAATCCAAAATTTTTAATGGCTAAAACTGCTTCTGGTAATTTCTTTGGACGTACATATGTATCAGTACTGCGCTTGTAGACCCAGTCAGTTGCCTCAGGTACCTCAGGTGGCCAGCAGCATCTACAGGCACAGCAATTTAGACAGTTCTGAGGATAAGCTGATTTCACTCTGTCAATAGATATTTAATCTGTTCCTAATTGAAAATTAGAGGCATTCTGTCTTTTCTTCACTGACCAGATAGGTAATAAATTTTTTTGCATTAATATTCAGTGCACAATTGCAGAGAATTTTGCTTAGGTAACAGCATTGCACTACAAAGATGAGGATTTTTTTTTTATTCTCTGTGCTAGGAAGAAAAATATTAAGAAACTGGAGCTATCACAGGGCCCTAGCTTTTGCTGAACCAGCGGCAGTAGGTTTCTGCAGTCGGATGCTCTGGTCCCATACAGATGGCAGTCTGTACAAATACCCAGGAAGCTATCTGCATTAAGGCTGATAAACAAAACCAGGAACAAAGCCCCTACAACAAACTGAGGGCAATTCACAAAACGTTCTCTTAAGAAGCAACAATATTATCTGATCGACGGAACATTGGACAAGCCATGAATTCCTGCACTCTAAAAACCAGCCCACTTAGTGTTGCAGTACCCTTCAGATCTTCCAGGATATCATTTTTGTCCTGAAGATATCACTCAGTCTCCCTGGAGAGGCTGTGAAGATGTTTGCAGAGCCTTTCCAGGATGGAGAGGTGGATTACTCAATTAGTCTTATAATTATTCTTTTCTTTCCTATCAAAGACATTGTTTGGCTGGTGTGAACTTTTGATACCTGATGTGTGTGTTTTTTTTTTTAATGTAATCCTTTTTTCACAGTGGTTTAACTCTGGTGGCCCATACAGTATGCATTCTGGCAGAAATAAATCTACAGTGAAAACTTTGCTTTTTTTTTTCTTTTTTTGACAAATGTTAATGCAGTACAGTGAAGCAAAATTGATCTCCTGATTTGATTGCAGTTCTATTGGCTCTGATAAACTTGCCCTGAGTTTCCAAACCACACACACATAGAAGGTTGTAACCTACACCAGCATTTTTAAACGCTGCAATAGCGACTTTCTTGAAATAGGTTTGTGTGTAGGTTTTAGCTCCAAACCTGCAGACAATTAACAGTGCTTCACCTTGACAATTAGTGCTCTGGTCCCCCTCATTGCCTTGTGGCTGCAAGCCTCGGCTCCGGGAAGGTTTTTCTTCTTCTCTTCCCCGTCTCTCCCCAGTACACACAGGCTGTGGCACCTCGGTGTCTTGCACTGGCAGTGCGGTGCTGCGGCTGCCTCTTTCCTCCAGCGTCTGGTGCGTGGCTTGACTGAGAGAGAAGCAGACCTGCTGCTCCATGCCTACATTGATGTACCTGCTGGAGGGTTTCTGCTCTGAAAGGAGCTCGGATAGCGAGCGCCGTTGCCTCGCAGCGGCATCATGAGCTGGCCTTCCTTCCTGACATCCCGCGTGAAGAGACGCATCATGTTAAAGCTCTGCAGTATTGCCTGTCACGTTTTGGGTCATTTTTGGAACACTTTGATTTATTTGAGATATCTTTAAACAGCACTGAAGCCAGCTTTTAATGTAGCAATCAGGGCAAAGTCCCTCTCAGCTGAGAGGGAAGTGCAAGTATACTAACATGAAGAGTTTTACTTGCTGATTCGCTGTCTTTGGAGGGAAGCGTTTATAAAAGAAAAATGGGCTAGTGTCTCACTGAATTTAGTCAACTTCCTTGAAAAGGTTTGCTTATTTTTTCTGCTAATACTTCTTCTGAAGGCTCTTTGTTTTGTATTTTAAAAAAACTTTATCCATTTTTTGTCACCTGTAAAAAAAATAGATATTGTGTATAGTACATATTTTATATATATGTAGTGCTGCGATTGGTCGCTTGGCTTTAATAGTAAAAGCCATATGCAGTAACTGTGAATCAGAGACCTCACAGTTAAAAAGAGCTCTCCCCTCAAAAAAAATCCTAACGGTGTATTTTTAAACTGAATGCAATGCTTGCGTTCCTCTAATAAAATCTAGCAGGTATAACAAGCAGTATAAAGCCACAAATCATTTTTATAAGGAGTTCACATGTGTCCAAGTGATTAAAGACTTCTACTTCAAACTGTAACAAATTAGAACAATTGGAGCCCAAGATGGGATATTGACTCAGGTGTTATCAAAATCTATCTTTCTAAGTTAACCTTTCCTTAAGCAAAAGAAACAATATACTTGAGCTTTCCCAAAAGAACATGTTTCCTAAATAATCATTCATCACTTTCCTGATGCCTGTCTTCTGTGGTAGATGTAATTGGCTTCTGAATGTTATTGAATTGCAGGAGTCTTAAAATTTAAAACATTATAGTGACTTAACCCAGTGCTGTTTTGTAATGTGTCTGTAAGCCAGTAACCTTTCTGGTCTGATGCATCCTGGCATCAATAGTGAATGGTTAGTATGGATCAACATCTGGCAGCAGGGAGGTGGAGGGCAAGTACTGCATGGAGTAGGTTCCGGTTCTGTGGGTCCTCTGCATTAGGAGTTGTTCAGTTTGAACATCTACTTGTGATTTCTAGATGGCTTTGGAGTATAGTGTGGCAGACACTGCCTCTTCCACAGAGCTAGGAGCACTGATTATTCTCACCTATTACCAGAAAGTGAAAACTGGTTGGGAAGGGCAAAAGAGGGGCAAGGGGGAAGTAAAACTGCAGGAATCAGTGGTTTAGTGCATAAAGCGTCGTTGTTATTATGTTTAAGACAGAGCAAGCATGACGATAAACGTGTTTGGGGAAGGAGTTATTTCAGTATGCTCCCAAGACTAATAGGTTAATAACTGGAGGAGACTATGTTTATCGGGTAATGACAGCAACTGGAGGTATGGTGGTTACTGCTGCATGTTGCACTGGAATTGTCCAGTGAAGAATTCCTGTTTTAAATAGACGATGTAAGGAGGGGGCATACACAAAAAATTAAAACATGAGGGTGCATTCCCACTGTGGAGATGTTTGAGGAAAATGTAGCGTCCTACCTTCCTTCCCCACATTCATTCAGCTGGTCTCAGCTTCCTACCAGTTGGAAGGTCTTCACACCTGAAGGTTCAAAACCAAACCTGGCAGAAGTCCCAAAGGAGGCAAGAGCATAACTGGAGTGCGGGCAATGCGGGAGGAGGGAAGCGAGCTGAAAGCATGTGGCAGAGCGAAGCCGAACTGGGACCGAAGTTGGCCCTCCCACCTATGTTACACAGCTGAATGAAAGCTTTTCAGGTGCTTTCTGTGTTCTTTAGTGTTACCTGTTTTCCAAAACTATGAGGAAATTCTAACGATTTGACAAAAAAATATATGGATATTTCTGCATCAGTCTGTGTTCTGGACTATCTTAACTCTGCCGCTCTGAGATAGTGCGCTGCTGTCTTCTCTCCGTCATACACCAGTGATATGCCATGTCATGTGCGTGGGCTGGGACGTGCCACTAGCAGGTCCAAGCATCTGAAATAGCGTAGGGCTCTGCTACACCCCACCAGTGACTGCATAGCAGGAAGCGGAGGGTGCACGGGGCAAGCTCTCAGGGTGGGTGTGAAGGAGCGTAGAGGTGCTTGAAGGTGCAAATCCTGTTGGGTCAGTGCTGGAAGCATGGAGGGTAGAGGGAGCTGAGTCTGCTGTGGTGTTACCCATTCTGCCTTTTAGGAATAATTTATGACATGCACTTTCTCCCAGATCATGTTTTCTTTAGGCGTACTATTTGGCAGGAATCAAATCTGTTCTGAGGAGCTGCTGTGCTTGACTGACTCCTGGGCTGATGGGAGCCCTGTGAAGTTCACCAAAGGCAAGCACAAAGCCCAGCACCTGGGATGCAATAAGCCCTGCAACAGGCTGACAGGCTAGAAAGTGGCTCTGTGGAAAAAGTCTGAGGGGTACCTGGATGACAGCAGTGGTGGTGTGGCAAAAAAGGCCAACAGCAAATTGGGCTGTATCAACAAGAGTGTAGCCAGCAGGTCAAGGTTGGTGATTATTCCCCATCATTCAGCACTGGTAATGATACAGCTGGAGTGTTGCTTCCAGTTTTGGAAGTGGCTTTTTTCCAGTAGCGCACTAATCATAAAATCATAGAATGGTTTAGGTTGGAAAGGACCTTGAAGATCATAGAGTTCCAACCCCCCTGCCATGGGCAGGGACACCTCCCACTGGACCAGGTTGCTCAAGGCCACATCCAACCTGGCCTTAAACACCTCCAGGGATGGGGCCTCCACAACTTCTCTGGGCAAGGAAGACACTGACATGTGAGAGCGAGTCCAGTATACCAAGATGGTCACGGGGCTGTAGCAAACTACATATTGGGACAGGCAGGGAGAACTGGGTTTGTTCAGCATCAAGAGGGCTGAGGGGACATCTCTCTGCCATGCATACCTACCTAATGGGAGGGTGTCCAGAAGACAGACAGGCTCATGTAAGGTGCCCAGTGGGGGGACACCAGGCAACAGGCACAAGTTGGAACATGAGAATTCTGTTCCAATATAAGAAAAAAAAAAAAATTTAACGTGGGGGAAGTTGAACAAAGAAAGAGGTTGCCCAGGGAAAATGTGGATTCTCCATCTTTGGAAAAACTAAAAATTTAGTTGGACATGGCCCTAAGCAGCCTGCCATAACTACACCTGCTTTTGACTAGATGACTCTGGGGGTCCTGCCCAACCTGGAGGATTCTACAAGTCTCACCTGATGTCCTGTGCTAAAGTCCATGGCCCTTTGCTGATGTTTTTGTAAGTTTTGTGACCATTGATAAAGTGAAATGTTTGAGTGAACAAGATGGAGCAAGTTTGATTTTCATAGGTCATTGCTACAAGGATAAAGTAAACATCATTTAGCTATGTAATCAGAGAAACAAAAATTTAGAGATATCTGTGCATGAGTTTCTAGATGATTTTAGAGTGATTGCTATGTATGGTATGATATATATTGTGATATATACAGTATGTAGTGGTATATATTTGTTGCTAACGTCCTGGAACACATATTTACCTACCATGTATGCTTTACAGATGTTAACTACCATGTGGTAATGAGTGAATTAACCTAACACAAGAAGGGAGGAGTTAACTTTCTTGACTTTCAGAACTTAAATCTTAAAATATGCTTAGCCTATTGAGGTGTATCAGCAGCCTTAAATTCTCCATAGTAAAGTTTAGTGGGTAGGAATAAATTTGTGCAGTCTCAGTCTTTTCATTTTACTTTTTCAGTTTTCTGTTACAGTTTTGGACAGTGGCTGATGCCTTATATTTATGTTCAGAAGGAAGAGTGCAGAACAGTATTTTTCTCAGAGTGCCAAACTAGAACTGTGGCGTGATTTTTCTTTTGTTCCAGCACAGTAAGATTCAGCCTTATTTCACCTATTGTTACCCTGTGACTATATTTAAAAAAAAAAAAAAGAATATTTAAGAATATTTTCCAAATTTTTAAATTGAGAATAATTTCATCTTTAAACATGCCCATTGACTCTAAAAAATCCATTTGCTATTTGGCTAGTTGAAATAGATGCCATTAATAAACAGCTGCTTCATGAGACCTTCGTTGTGAAGCTTGGCCAGTTAGTTACCTCTGTGGTTTCACATCTGACCCACCGTTTCCTTCTTCAGTGGCTTGTTTGTTTGTGAATCACCAGGGAACTGCGAGTTGGCCAAGCAGCAGCTCCCACAGCCGTAGGTTGTGACACCTCCCTCGCTCCGGCCGGTGTCCCACAGGAAGCGAGAAAAAGCTGTAACCGTACCGTCTCAAGTTAAAATTTCTGACAGCGTAGCACAGGTTGTCCAAAGAAGCTGTTTGTGGGGACTTGTCGATGCCAGAAACTGATACTCATACAGAACGTGCCCTTTTGAAAAGAGAAGGGGGAGATTGAGTGGTACATGCACAGAGCCCTGTACGTCCTCAGCCCTTATCAGCTCCGCCGAGGGCAAGGCTGTGTGGCCGGCCACAGCTCTCTGCTGGTTTTGAGGAGAAACCAGCCATGAGCATCACACCGGTGGTATCAGCAGAAAACCCCAGTGCTTCCCTTTCATGTCACAGTATTTCAAAAATGTTGTCTGGCCAGTGGTGTGAACTGTGAATGAGTATTACGTACCATAAAACCTAGTAGTTTCCTGGATTGGACTAATTAGTGTTTGTTTAGATAATTCAGGGCTTGAACGACTTCCTCTCCGGAAGCCCCAGAACTGAAGTGCTAAGGCGGCACACCTCGGCTGAGCTGCCTGTGCCTTCCCTCTGAAAGGCTTGCGGAAGATAATCACAACTTTACAAATACAGGTGAATTGCGGATCGTGTCTTACAAGAGGAAGCATTATTCACAGCACTTCTCAGTTATTAAGTGATTGGAGTTACAGCCTTGATTAGATGCAATGGCTATTCTGTCATGATACCTGAATTTGAAGCCTGGAATTTGAACTTCACACAGCTCCGTGAAGTCTTTAGGGGCTGCAGAGGTGAGGAAGGGATATACTATTTTAGTGTATGTTTTCATTTGCAATTTTTTTAGTATATTCCGTATTTCCAAATAAAATGGTCTGTGGCAGGCCAGTAGCGTTTATGTGATGCACCTTCCTTAATGAGTAGGTATCTGCTGCTGCTGAGGAAGACCTGGGCAGGTTCTGTTCAGTCTCTGAAAACGGCTTTTCAAGTTAAACCACTCAAATACGAAGCAGAGCAATCTTGTCTATAAAGAATTATTCCAGTCTTAAGGAAATAATTTCAGGAATGAATGAGCCTTGGACATCTGTTTTGCCTTTTTTTTTTTTCTTTCAAGTACAATTTCTATACTAGAAAAGCACACACATGGCTGTGCATATGTTGTTTAATCTCTTAATTGCAATTATGATCAAAAAATGAGGAAGGAAGTCTATGACTAGGAGAGCAAGGCAGAGGGGGAGTTAGACATATGGGATAGACCGATATTCTTGACTTCTCCTTCAGGGAATAGATGTCATCTGTCATTCCCCCTAGCCTTGAAGAGATTATATCAAAGGGATATGCTTCATCCATAATGATGAGATCACCTTTTCTGCTCCTCAGGGAGCTGAAGATGGTGAAAGAAAAGTTTGCTTCCCTCAAGAGCCTAGCAAATAAGTTCTATCAAACAGCAGAAGCAACGGGGTGGGAAAAAAATACCCAAGGGAATCCAGACACGCTCTGTCATAACTGTATGACACAAGTGGCTATTTGAATTTCTGGGATATGTGGATTTGTCCTTTCTTTAAAAACTGGTTGTGTTTGTTCTCTTGCCTTCTTTGGCAGTTTCAGGTGGCAGTTTCCCCTCACATAAGATGCATGAACGTGCAGAACAATAAAAAAAAGGTTACTTGGCTGAGCTTCAGGTTAAAACACTTTGCACTTGACTACTCAGCTGTTCAAATAAAATTAGTTTAGTTTCTCCCGATATATGGTCTTTGTCAGTTCAGTCTCAATAGATTTCATATGATTTGAAGTATTATCTTCTGTGGGGGAAAAACAATTTGTTTTATTATTATTTTGCAGGTGGCTTCAGGTGAATGCAATGAAGACACTGAGGTTTACAACATTACCCTTAGTACTGGGGATGAGCTCACTTTAATGGGGCAAGCCGAAATCCTTTATGCAAAATCTTCTAAAGAGAAGTCACGACTGAACACCATCTTCAAAAAAATTGGGAAGCTTAATTCAATTAGTAAGCTAGGCAGAGGCAAAATGCCCTGCCTCATCTGCATGAACCACAGGACCAACGAAAGCATCAGTCTCCCTTTCCAGTGTAAGGGCAAGTTTAGCACCCGCAGCCCGCTGGAGGTGCAGATGCAAGAAGGTGAGCACACAATTCGCAATATAGTAGAAAAAACCAGGCTGCCCGTTAATGTGACTGTGCCGAGTCCTACACCAAGAAACCCTTACGACCTGCATTTCATCCGTGAAGGGCACAGGTACAAGTTTGTCAACATTCAAACCAAGACTGTGGTGGTTTGTTGCGTGCTTCGTGGCAACAAAATTATTCCCATGCATTTTCCCTTGCACTTGACGCTTCCAAAATTTACTCTACCTGACAGTCTGGTGAAGGGGGAGCTGTGGCATGAATCCCTCATCCAGCACTGGTTTAATATATGCCAGGAACAGTTTGACATAGATGAGTATTCCCGTGCAGTGCGAGATGTGAAAACTGACTGGAACGAAGACTGCAAGAGCCCGAAGAAGACCCGATGCACAGGGCACAGCCATGTGCCCAACTCCCTCAGCTACGCACGGGACGAACTTACTCAGTCCTTCCACCGGCTTTCAGTGTGCGTCTATGGAAACAACTTGCATGGGAATAGCGAAGTGAACCTCCACGGCTGCAGGGACTTGTGTAACGAGTGGGCCCTGTTCTCTCACGATGCTCTTCAGTACCAGGAGTCTGGTGACAGCAGCAGTGATTACCTTTTTCCTGAAGTTAGTGAAGAATCGATGTTTCTGCCTACAAAACCAGAACTTCCTTATGAAGAGCTGTGGTTGGACCAAGGGTCTGGAAAGGCTGGTGACCAGCCTCTCACTCGCTCCCTAAGTGAGAAGAACAAATGTGACAACTACAGAGGGTCTTTCCGATCAAAGTGTGGTACCGCATCTCTTCCTGTGCCTGCCACTGTTGGAGCAACCACAAAGTCTTCAGATGTTTCCCTACCTCCACCTCCAGTGCCTCCCAAATCAGAAGCAGTAAGTCAGGGTTATTTATGTTGGCTTGTTTATTTTTTTAGCTGGTGCAGTTTTCTTGTGGATTTTTTTAGGGAAGACTTGGGGGGGGTGGGGGGGATACAGAGAGCAAGGAAAATGCGAGACTTTGTGAGATGTGCAACTTCAACTAGTTTCCTACCAAGTTTAAGTCATATCCTAAATATCACCAGGGTATGTTTAATTTAACTGATCTAGTAGCTTAATCCTGATACTTTCAGGTGATATTTATTGGGGTTTTTTGCTCCCACAAGCAAAGTCTAAGAATTACTATGTCACTTCTTTCCCTTGCTTTTCCACATCATCTCTCTACGTGACCTCCATGTTTTCTCGTATTTTCTGTGGCCCCATTCTGTGGCATGACCCCACTTGGAACTGCCTCGGATCACCTTAGTGTGTGCGTCTTCAATTAACAGGCCCTGATAATGAGGACAGCTAGAATTTTTATGGATTTGAAGTGTTTGTTAATGAGATATTTTCTTCTTAGGTACGAGTCTATGGCAGATTTTGAAGAATATTAAGTGTCATTGACCTCAAGGAGACTTTATCAAACTAGACATGAACGAATCACTCTGTACTGCTTATTGAAAGAAAACATGTTTAAATAGAACTCTGCAGAGTTGATAAATGAGCCTTCTAGAGGTCTCAATTTTAAACAGAGCATGTTTCGTGTTCTAGGGTTTCTAATGAGAACTCATGGGGAAAATCATTTCTCCAAAGCTGAAATGTCATGGAGACTTCAGAGGCAAAAATACAAGCATGTTTTATCAACAGGAGCTTATGTGGACTGTGTGGAAAATCCAACCATTATGTGGTCTCTTGACACAGTCCTAAACATTATTTTTTGAAACACCACAAAGGAAAAAAAGACAAATTCCCC